CATTAAATATACCACTTTAAAAACAAATCTTCATTTAATACACAAAGGGAAACCACCACCTACAAGTATTCAGAGATATGGTGAGAAGATTGAAAATAAATAATAAGAAAAATAGAATGTGCATAGACCAAGGATTAAAACGGCTGGAAGATAGAACAAATATAGTTATTAGACCAGCGGATACGAGAGAAGTGGTCATTTTAAACAAAAGCTACTATGAAGAAGAAATGAGAAGCATATTGGGAGATCAGGAAACATTTACAAAATTAAAAATCCTACTATATACCTTAAAAAACATCTAAGACAACTACTATAGGAGGGGTTGCACACTGGATTTTTAAGCAAAAAAGAGTACAAATATTTAATACCCACAAGAAGCAGAATCCAAATAATCTACATCCTTCCCAAATTGTACAAAAAAACAGGAAAGGCCACCTGGAAAGTGGAATCGACTCACTCTTACCATGTTTAGGAGAATATAAACACTTGTTCTAGTAGGCTGCACAAAGGGCTTTCTCAAAGATAGAGGAGATATGATTAACGCTCTCTCAGCTATACAATACAACAGGGATATTACATTTGCAACTATGGATGTGGTATCGTTATATACAAATATTCCACATACTAAGGCTTGGAAGCAGTGAAGTGGGGCTTAGAACGGTTCTCAGATTTGAAGGAAGAACAGATTGATTTTTTGGTGAAACATACAGATTTTTCTGTGAAAAGCAATTACTTTTAGTATGAGGGAGAATTATACACCAAAATAATGGTGTGGTGATGGGAGCAAAGTTTGCTCCTAGCCTAGCCAACCTTTTTATGACAAAATGGGAGGAAAAAATAATATTTGGAAAAAACTGGATTTAATATTGAGATCGACCTTAATTGTTTCATAGCAGATGATTAAAACCACATTTAAAGGAGAACTATTGGGATAAGGCTTTTCCCCATAGTTCTCCTTAGGGTAACGGAAGGACACAAACTAGCGTCCTCCCGTCACCCTAGGCTCAGTATACCGCGAGCTGTAGCTCGCGGTATACTGAGACGCCGCAGCTGAAGCGGATCCCGACAATTGTGCCGGGATCCGCCCAGCTGCGTGACTGACAGCCGACTCTGCCTATCTAGAGGTAGAGCCAGCTTTACC